CCTGCTGCACAACCCCCATCACTTCTCCTTTGAACACCCCCAATTCAAAGGCAGAACTAAAAGGCACAAGCAGCCTTGGTAGTTGAGTTATCACCATCTTAACTGTGCTTATGAAGCACCATTCTGAGTCCTTCATGCCTTCTGAATATGCAAAGTGATGTGGAGACCTGCCCAAATACCACACCATCTCTATCCATGCACATTTGGAAGCAGAGGACAGAAATCCCAGCTGTCAGCAGGTGAAGTGACTGGTATTGGTAGTAGGCTCATCTCTGCCTTTCTATGCAAGTGCAGCAGCAGAGTATCAGATCTCTGCATCACTGTTGCTTCATGCTTCTGGGTTTCCATGTTAAATATTTGGCACTATGTTTAAAAAAGAAAAAATAATTGGTGGAAATTGGGATGAACTTTGATGAGTTCTACAACTTCACAATTGCAGAAGAGTTTCAAATGTGAACTAAACGTAATTCAGACAGCATTTACAAAAGCCATTTTCTTGTGGTTTTTAATGTATTCCCTATTTCTCCATCAGAAGGAGGGCCAGGAGGTTTTCTTGACTTCATATCCACACTGTACACTGAGGTTAGTTCTGGTTTGAAGTAGCTAGTATGTAAGTGCTACCCTCCCTCAAATGTGAAGCACATCTAAACTACACTGGGGGGAAGGGGTTCCCTAATTTTTCAATTTTGAGTTAGACCCAATATACAGTTTTGGAAACAGCTGGAATCAGTAATATTGTTTAATGCTATTATTAAAACAACTGTTTACTTTGAACTTAAAAAACAAATAGCATTTTCTGTACTGGGAAGCTCAATCTGTTGTCTTTGTCAGGACATGTGCTTAACAAGTGTTTTGGTGATTTTGGAAACATCCTCTGAATACCAACTCTTTGAGAAAATTTCCAGTGGATAATCGGTCTTTTAGCTGTCACTGCCCCCAACTGTTTTCTCCTCCCTCCCCTGTTCATGGGATTTAGTCACACAGACAAACTCACATCAAATTTAGCCAAGAGGAAAGAGATACACAGAAGATGCATTGGTGCCACTAAAAGTGACCACTCAACAAAAGCTGTGGTTTAGGTAAGTTCCAGCTTCTTCATAAAGACTCCTCTCTCCCTTGCTATATGCAGCATCAAGGATTTTTATAGTAAAAAATTTCGCATGGATATTTGTATCTTAAAAATTCCTCGGTTTGCCTCCATTCCACCTGTGGCTATGTATCCTGGGTGGCCACACCACCTCTCAGCCAGTCACTGAGCTGGTGGTTAGACTTGTTTCATCACGGAGTAGACTTAACTAGAACTAACAAGTGAAACACAGCATTTTACTTTTGTTGTGCCTGAAAGTATTCTGTATTTTCCCAGTACCTCTTCCTCTACAGCTTTTCAACCAGCACGCCTAGTGGATGTGCTTAGTCCCAGCAGAAGCATCTTGTTCATCACATCACACCATGAGGGCTGGTTGTAAACAACCCAGGAGCCACTTGAGAGTTGAAGTTGTCAGAAAACAGCTTGAGAAGAGAGTTTCTCTACCTACCATGTTGACGGCATCTTGATCGAAGGGGTTCCACTCAATGTTCTGAGGATAATGGGCCAAAACTTTGGACTTGAAGGTTCTTCTTAAGGGACTCTGGTCAAAATTTTCTCCTGCAAGAAATGAAGAAATAATGACTTGTCACAGCAGTGAGGCTTCAGAGAGAGCTGGCCTGGGCAGCTTGCTTTCACTTTGCTATTTTACTTGTGAAATCTGAAGGGCATTTTCACTCCCAACAGATGCATTACTTTAAAAAAGAGAAACAGAAAAGATACACGTTCAGTCGGATCTTGTCCTCCTCAGAAAATCTCACTCCTGTTGCAACACAGCTTCCAGCTCAGTATTTATCACATGGAAATGTATCATTAAGAGAAAAATTACTGCTGGAGTTTTATGGAAAAAGGCTCTGCAACCAGCTCAATTCTCTGTCTTCCCCTATAGCTTGAATATCTAGAGATATCTTTACTTACATGCCAGAAGATCCCTTTCATCAAGTTTGTTAGAATCTGTCTTACGGTCAATAGAAAGTATGAGCACCTCTCAGCTATTATAAATTATTCAAGGATTCATTATAGATCTTTTTTACATCACAAGTCCTGTGTGCAGATTAAACATTTTTTTTCTACATCAAATTTCAAGGACAGAGTTTTTCCACAGAAATAATCCAGCAAGTGCAAAGAGGAAGATTGAAATTA